TTTTTTTTTTTTTTTTTTTTTTTTTTTTTTTCATGACTGGCAACAGATCGCAACCCTCAGTGTCACGCCCGTACCGGACTGGGACCGGCTACCGGATCGCAACCCTCGGTGTTGCTCCCACACCTCGCTCAGCCAGTGAGCGGCCGGTCTGTATGTGGGATCCGAACCCTCGGCGGGAGCGCTGCTGTGCTTCCCAAGCGGCGCACTGTAGCAGTGCGCCACCGGGCCAGCCTAGGATTCAGTTTTTACATCTGTCGCTTACTGTTTGTGGTCTAGAACGAGTTGTTTCATCTCTCAGATTCATTGTTTCCTCATCTATAAAAATGGAAATAGTAAGATCTACTTCACAAGATTATTGAAGCCTTCAGTGAAATTATACCTGTGAAAGATCTTGACACAGGGCTGGGCACATAGGACACCTCAGTTTCCTTCCTTCTGAAACTTACTTCAGCATTTGTCAGGGAGCAGGGACCATCTGGAAAATCCCATCTCTACAAATTAAAACTAGATATAAATGCTTTAGACAATTTGGGATATATCACTTGTTTTTATATTCAGTTACTCTAAAGTGAACACACTATTGTCTTTCCACCTGCCAGTAATTTTAATTATAGAATCACAGAGCTAAGCCATCTAATTGAAGCAGTTCTTAACTGCAGGTGTGAAATTCTGTGTATGTATGCATTTGTGCATTTTTCTGGGGATAATAGCTTTCATTAGAGCAAAAAGAGTCTATAACCAAAAAATGTTAAAAACCATTAGGTTGTGGGGAAGCTAATACCCAGAGATGAGAAATTACTAATGCCAGGGCCATAGGTTCTCAGACTGTACAAGCTGAAGAGAGCCTTAGAGATTAACATTTTCAGCCTTCTCATTTTACAGACAAAAACTAGGAAGGCTCAGAAAAATTAAGTGCCTGTTTAAAAGTTGTATAACCTTAAGTAACCTTTGGCAAATTAATCTCAATAGGCCCAAATCTTCTCATTTATAGAGTATAATTAATAAAACTTTTCTCAGGGGCCGGCCCGGTGGCGCACTGGATAGTGCGCTGCTTGGGAAGCGCGGCGGCGCTCCCGTCCGAGGGTTCGGATCCCACATACAGACCGGCTCCCGCTCACTGGCTGAGCGAGGCGCGGGAGCAACACCGAGGCTTGCGATCCCGTTGCCGGTCCCCGGTCCGGTACGGGGGCAACACTGAGGGTTGCGATCCGTTGCCGGACACGGAAAAAAAAAAAAAAAAAAAAAAACTTTTCTCAGAAAATTACTGTGAATATTATTATACCAGTTTACAATCTATTTTACATAATTCTGAAATCCAAAAAGCTCTGAAAATTAAGTGTTTTTATTAAATCATGAAGCTACCAAATCGAACCTCAACTGTCCTGAGACTTAGTCAACCATATGTTTATATAAAGTTTTATTGGAACACACCATGCCCATTTATTTACATATTATCTATGGCCACTTTATCACTATAACAGCACAGTTGAGTAGTTGCAACAGAGACCATATGGCCCATACAGCCTAAAAATATTTACTATGTGGCCTTTCATAGAATAAGTTTGCCAACCCCTAACTTATATGACCACTGACTGTTATATAATATTCAGTTTATGCACTGTATTATCATTCTAAAGTCTGAAACATTTTAAATTCAGGAACAAATCTGGCCCTAAGGATTTTAGATAAAATAGTGTGAAGCTACAGTAGATGGAATAAAGAGTTTGGAGCCAGCCAGACCTGGGTTCAAATCCTAGCTCTACAACTTGGTAGCTATAATAACTTGGGTGGATCTCTGAGCTTCCATTTTCTCATCTGTAAAACAGGGATTATTATCCCATTTAATCCTCAGATCTTCATAGGGTTACCAAGGGAATTAAATAAAATAATATGTATAAAGCACTAGCGGAATTTCTGAAACACAGTAGATACTCAATAAAGAGTAGCTGTTATTATTTTGAAATCTAATGCCTAGTCCTTGGTAGGTGTTCACTAAGTGGCAATTCTCTTGGTGGAAGACCTGGGACTAGATCCCAGATCTCTTGACTTTTTTGTCCCATGACTTTTCCATTTTACTCATAGTACAATAATAACATTTCACATCTTTTATAGCACTTCTCTTTCAAAGTTGTTCCTAAACCATTGTCTCATTTGACAGTCATAACAGCTTTGTCCAGTAGACAAGATCAGCATTAATTTCCCATTTGTGAGGTAAGGAAGCCAAAGCTGAGAGAGATCAATGGCTTACCCAGAATAAGCCACTGTTTTTGAGCTGAGCCAAGGACAGAACTCAGGTCTTTAAACTCCTAGCCTTTGTTTTTCCTATCTAATCTCATTGCCTCTTAGTGGTCAGAGGAAACAAACTCCAACTCACTGTGGGTGTGTTTTCTGTTCTGTCCTGGGCCTGGATGATGGAGACTCTGGGGTAGAAAGTGGGTAAGGTTTTTTTTTTTTTTTTTTTTTTTTTTTTTAAGACAGTAATTGAAAAATCTTTTCTCCCATAAGGGATCACAGGATGGTATCCTGTCATTCTATCAGAAGCTCTGGACCTGCCTCACAGTTTGGATCTCATGCAGAAGATTGTGGGTGGTCTGGAGCTTTCAGTTTCCTTCACCCATCCTGGAGATAGAGAACGTGTGTTGGAAGCTGCTGAGCTCTTGGGCTGGAGCTTTGAGAATAGCCTGAAGGATTTTGTCAAGATGGATGAAGAGGAACCAGCCACTGTTACCATCTCCACCCCAAGGCTGTGGCTACCTATCCATTGCGTGCTGCTTGCCGGCCAAAAACATATTCATAAGAACACATATTGCTACCTTCGCTGTAAGCTGTATGATCATGAAGCCTTCTGGACCCCTCTCAAGAAGCCCAAGGAATCTTCAAACAAAAAGCAGGTCATGGTTACTTTCAAGGCATCAAAAAGAGCAGAAGTCACTAGAGGCCCGTCACTGCTTTGGTACTTCAGGGAAGAGAGGCTAGAGATCCAAGTGTGGCGAGCTTATGGAAATGATAGTGTGGAGAGGCCTCACCAGACAGACAGCTGGATTGGCTCAGCTTATGTGGACCTTAGCAGACTTGGGGAGAGGTCAGCAAGGACACTAACTGTCAGTGGTAAGTGAGGAGCCAGGCTTCGGTCTTGTGATTTGAGCAAGACCTACTGTTTGTCAGGCACTATCTGAGACACCCTCTCACATTATTTTATTTGATCTTCCCAGCAATCCTATAAGATAGGTATTAGACCCATTTTACAGTCATCAAAATGAAGGCTCAGAGAGGTTGGGTAACCTACCCAGGGTCACAAACTAATAAGTGTTCTTTCCATTATTGCATGCTGAATGATTAGTAATAATTTAGTAGTGCTTATAACTAAACAGATTTCAAAAAGAAAGAGGTCTACTGGCTGCCTAAGAAAGGGGATTATCCAGTTATAGTACCTTGGTGGGGTCACAGATCCAAGAACTGGCTCTGAACTTTGTAGTGCTAGAGTGCATCCAAACTCATCAGATTTTTGTACCTAACATAGTGCCTAGAACATTGTAAGCATTCAGTTAATATGTATAAAATAAGAATGAGCAAATTTAGGGGACTACCTTTAACCCCATGTATAAAAGCCTATATGATCATCTAGAATGCTAGTTTATTAATTACACTGAAAAGCATACCTACTAAGGGGACTAGGATACACTTCCTCTCTGGTCAGTATATCGTAGAACCATGAAGAAAATCTACATCTTAATAAACTGGTTCACAAGGCAGAAAAGAAAAATGTAACATTTTGCAAGTGGTATTATATGCTGGGTGCTTTTCTTTCAAACATTTGCTTAGTACTTGATACATGTACTTAGCCCTGGGAATTCAAAGGTGAGTAAGAAATTGTACCTGACCTCATGGACTTTACAATATAATGGGAGAATACAGTAGTAAGTAAATAATTACAGTGAAGCATAAGAACTATAAAAAGTATTCTCAGTGGTGCTGTGGAAGCACAGGGATGCAGCATCTCAGGTTCAAGGACAACATGTCAGTGAAGTGATACTTGACCTGCGTTTTACCTAATTTAGGTATAAGCCAAGAAAGGGCCACTTGCTCAACAATAGGGTCGGTACACAAGGCTCTTAAGAATATCTTTCTTTATCACAAAGGTGTTCTAAAGAAGGGAACAGCATGTGGGAAGTCACAGAGGCATAAAGCAGTCTGATACATTTTGGTGCTGTAAGTAATTTGGGATGGCTGGATCATAGGATGCATAGATTGGCTCTGTTGAAGTGATTGAAGATGAAGCTAGAGAGGCAGGCAAGAGGACTGTGTTCAAAACCTTCTCTTCTAAGCAGAAAGTTTGGACTTTTTTGTGAGAACTATGGAAAGCTATTATAATGGGTTCTGAATAGAGGAGTGACATAGCTTTGCTAGAAAAATAAGTCTAGTGACTATAGTGTAGGATGAATTGGAGGTAGCCAGACTAGATTCTTTATGAACATGATCTTTATTCAGCTTCACATATCTGTATGGTTACTTGTTATTTCCCCTATGCTACAGTTGAAGAAACTAAGCCATAACCCTCTTTTAGCCCTATTTGCCTTGTGCTCTCACATTATTGTTGAGCAGGTATCCTGGGCTAAAGGAGAACTTAGTGTCTCTGGGTGATCATCCCAAATTTTCTGGTTTCTGGACTCCGCAGATGTAAATCTGGCTCTGTTGAGCATCTCATCAAATGCTATGTGCCCTATTTTTTCTGGGTTGGCCTTGAGTCACTTAAAATGAACTGCAGAAAAAGTCCTTGAAGTAAGCTAAGCTCATAAAGTTCATAAAGGCAGGCTTTTAGCTTCATTCTGCTGAAGAAAGTAGGTTTAGGACACTGAATATAGATCTAAGGATAGGAACTCAAGCACAAATACGTGTTTTTTGGTTTTTTGGTTTTTTTTTCCTTTTTGTCTTTTTTCGTGTCCGGCAACGGATCGCAACCCTCAGTGTCGCGCCCGTACCGGACCAGGATCGGCAACGGGATCGCAACCCTCGGTGTTGCTCCCACACCTCGCTCAGCCAGTGAGTGGGAACCAGTCCGAACCCTCGGCGGGAGCGCCACTGCACTCCCAAGCGGCGCACTGTAGCAGTGCGCCACCGGGCCGGCCCCACAAATACGTTTTTTTATTGAGTTCTACCAAAGATGATATTTAAGTTTTCCTATCACCCATTTCCCTCATACTTCATATCTCACTAAACTGAGCTTTTTATCCTCTTGTACAAGGCATGATATTTGATGTGTTTGTTGAATGAATCAATCAATACATCCAATCATACTTCCAAATACCATTAAGTTTCCTGTGGAAAAGGATTTAACTATGTTGTTTTGGGGTGTCTTCCCTCCTATAATGACTTGCCCTTGTTTTCTGCCTTTGATATTCATACTACTTTACATATTACATTGAGAATTTTATCTAAAAATAGAAAAAAGAAAGGTTTCGTCTTAATTGCCATTCGTGAATCAGTTAACTCCATTTTCCTAAATTGAAATGAGTCTAATGAAGCGAACTTTGAGATTTGGAAGGATTATTGCCTTCTGCTTTATAAATAAAATCTCATCTTAATATTCAGCAAGCCAGTAAAGTTCAAATCTCTGGGTTTAAGTCTGTCATTTACTGGAAGAGTTACCTTGCCAGGTTATTTAACCTCTCTGAGATTCTGGCACATGAAATCAACAAATACTAATTCTCTTACTCTTCCTTCTTGCCTCCTATTTTCCTTCCAAAAGATCTTCAGGGTTACTGCTAGAAAATATTTAATTGCTGAAGCAAGGCTAAAATGAGCCCCAGGACAGATTCCTGATGGGAAGAAAGTCTAAAAACTATGCACATGTGAAAGAGAAGACAGTCCACTCCTGATTTTATCAAACCTTAGACTTGTCTAAGTCTAGTTGCCTCTCAGTATGAATCCCTTCCACAACAGCTCTGCCTGGTATTCATTTGGCTTTGGCTTCAAATCAGAGATCTTTCCTTTATTGAAGATAGTAGGGACAGGGTAAACATTCTCACATTGTTTACAAACTTCACAGTTTCTTTTGCAAATTGATATATTGGGTTCTATAGGCCTTTCAAAGGAGAGGGGACCACAGGTACCGTCAGTGAGTATTTCCTCCAAGCTTAGAGAATGTTCTTGGTTCCTGCTTGCCTAGGCTTATTCTCTTCCATCCTCTTACAGGTGTGTACCCTCTGTTTGGACGAAATGCTTCCAACCTCTCAGGAGCTGCCTTGCGAGTCCATGTGGTTATTTCCTCTCTTTCCCCTCACCCTGAGCCCACTCATGAACTGGACTCCATGGACTGCAGCAGCCACAGTGAGTCTGAGAAACTTCCCAGGAGGAATGATGAAATCCAGCTCTCTCCACCGCATTGCCATCAGAAGTCTTCTGCCTCCACCCAGTTCCCCTGCAACAGCACCGCAGCTGAAGTCTGCCTGGCTCAGGAAGGCCTTGCTGAGTTGGGTGGAACTTTTGCAGTCAGTATCCTGGTGGAAAGAGCAATGCACTTAAGCTTGAAAGGTATACTCTGCTCACTTGTCTAGGAGCATATGTCTGGTTTCTCAGGGGATGGTCCTATCTTCTCAAATCTCTCAAATCTTGGCAGGATCTATAAGAACTATGTATCATCTTAATAAAAAATTCTATTTCTCAAGCCTAAAGTTTTAAGTTCAGGAAAGCCATCCTGAACTTAGAGCTGACCTTTGTCAATTATCCCATCATTTTACCTCTTTCTTTTATTTTTGTCTGTAGCCTTTAACAATGTATTTTGATTATTTTCTGTCTTTCCTAGAGGAATATAAGCCCTACAAGACTTTTTGTTTGTTTTCTTTACTTCTGAATCCTCAACACTTAGAACTGTGCTTAACACATAATAAGCAGTATATATTTGTTAAATAAGGAAGTGGATGAATCTGAAGCCTAGTTCAAATGCTGCCTTCTTCCTTAATATCTTCTCTCATTTCCTAATTTGCTCTCCCACAGGAAGATTGCTTATGGGGAATTTAATAGATGATAAGTTACAGGGATTAATAGAGTCATTCACAAATACTAAGTATGCACTGTGTCCAATATAGGGTATAGGGTCATATCCTCTTACACAGAAAGTTTGTCAACTTGCTTGTTCAGGCCTCAGAACTTGGATTAATGTGATAGCCCTCTCAACAGTTGCTGTTTTCATTGTTCTTCTCCAACATCTTTTTTATTCTGCCACCAAGATTATATGTCTGGTCAACAAATCTGACCTTGTTCCCACTGATTAAAATATTTTGTTGGTTTCATATCACCTGCAGTCTCAGTAACAGCACAGAAAGTACTGCCTGTCTGGATTAATCAGTCTTTCCAGACACATTCCTCACCATTTTTTACTCAGATTCAACAACTTATCTTTTGCCAATGCCCCATTGTCTCTTCTACTACCAAGCCTTTGACCATGCTGTTTCCTCTAAGAATGCCTTTTTCCTCTTCTGTTCAGCAAACTTGCTATTCCTCTTTCAAGAGTAGACTAAAGTGACAGCAACACTTTGAAACCTACCCTGACCACCACTACTAGCAAAAAACCTCCTTCTATGTTCCCAAAGCTTTCCTGTATAATTACCACCCTCCCAGAGGTTTCCTCTTTGATGTTTTATTACTCTGTACTAAAAACGTTAATGTGTCTCTCATTAGACTGTCTGTTCCTTGCAGACAGAGACTGTTATTTATTTCTGTATCTGTGCACCCTGATCCTTGTGATGTAGCTAAGCAAACATAATGTCCTGTTTTGTGAATATGAGATATTTCTGGCATGAGTTACAAACCTGTAAATCACTTGTTACTTGACCTCTTTCTGTTTAGCACGGTCAAGACAAGTATCGGGGTGGACATCTAACTTTCAGAGGTTTTTGTTGCTTCCTTATTTCCACCCTTGCAGCGATAAGCCCATGTAGTCCTACTTCCCACAAACATTTATGTGTTAGGCACTGTGCTGGGCCCTGAGAATACAGATCTGCTGATCGTACCTCTGAAATGTGCCTTCCAAATGATATGATAAAAAGAGTTCTGGAATGGGAGTCAGAAGACTGGATTCTGGCCCTAGCTGAGCCATTAACTTGCTGTGTGACTTTGAGCAAACCCATTTCCCTCTTCCCCAACTGTAAGATGTAATGGTCATACAAAACCATCCTTAAGATTCTCTGCAACTCTCATCCCCGGAGAATAAGGAGCTGAGGGCAACATACGCCACTCTGTGAGTCAGCTACAACTTGCCAAGCTTTCACGAAAATCATGTAGATCCTTCCTTAGTATCCACATTGGCTTTCCTCCTGCCTTCAACAGTGTTCTCAGTATGTCTGTCCTCTCCATGCCTTGGAAGCCTTTTCCTTGGAGAAGGAAATGAATGGTTCCTTCATGCAAAGCTTTATGCAGAGGATTCACAAACAGCCCTCAATTAGGAACTTTGCCCTCAGCAAAGCTTAAACCTCAAGCAGCTTTAAAACTTTCTGTGGTGCCATTTGTAGTCCCGGTGCTGAAAATAAAAGAGCTTCTTGGATATTTCTGTTAGAAAAAGCTTTGAGGAAACCTCCTTTAAAAATCATTTTTATTATAACACCAAAGTCAATGGTTCAGATCCCCATACCAGCCAGCCAGGAAAAAAAAAAAAAAATCAGCTTTAACACTCTTTTGTACACTTACGTTAGACAAGACTAGTATCTCTAGTCCTGTTTTACAAATGAGGCAACTGAGGAACAGAGAGGTAAAGTGATTTGAAGTAATGTAAGTTATACTCAGTAAAAAACAAAATCAGCTTCAGTATCATCAGCTTTTAGAGGTACTCTTTTTCTTTTTTTTTTTTTTTTTGTCTTTTTTCGTGACCGGCAACGGATCGCAACGCTCAGTGTCGCGCCCCTACCGGACCGGGACCAGCAACGGGATTGCAACCCTCGGTGTTGCCCCCGCTCCTCGCTCAGCCAGTGAGCGGCCGGTCTGTATGTGGGATCCGAACCCTCGGCGGGAGCGCTGCCGCGCTCCCAAGCGGCGCACTGTAGCAGTGCGCCACCGGGCCGGCCCTAGAGGTACTCTTTAACACACCCACCCAGGCAGGGTTAGGTGCCCCTCTGGGTTCCCACACCCTCCTGGGTTTTGGCATAGTCTTTATCTTAGTGGATTATAATTATGTGTTTGTATCTGTCTCCCCCAAATCAAGAATCAAATCTCACTCATCTTGTGCATGTGTGACACAGAGGAGGTATCAGTTAATGTTAGTTTAATAGAACTGGACTAAATTTTTGTTAACATAGAAAATTGGGCATTGCTAGAGGGGAAAGGTTCCATCTATTCACTCCAAGCCAGAAAAAGAATGCTTCTCTTAACCAGATTGAGTTAATTAGAACTACTGCAATGGAAAAACTCTAGAATAGGAGATAGGAAACCTGGCTGGTCCTTCCAAATGCTAGTTAACCAGATGTGTGAAGAGCAAGCCATTCTACTTTTCCGTTCCTTGGTTGCCTTATTTGTAAAATAGAGATAGAGATGTCTGTCTGCTGTGATTTTCAGAGATGTTATCAGCACAAGTTTAGTGTGTAAGAAAATAGCTTTCAAGCTATAAAGTATTATCCAAATATGAGAAATTGTTATTTTAATTTCATTGAAACAATTATGCCTTTCTTAATTCATAAAACTACCTTTCACACTTACATAAAACACAGGAAATTCAGTGAGAATTCTTAGACCTTAAAGCTGGTTTACCTCAAGACTTCTTAACTTCTCTCAGTTTGTGTCTCAATTCTGTGGAAGAGATAGTGGCTTTTTTCTGGGCTCCCTCCACAAGTGTTTCAGAACTGGACCTTTTCCAGAAATGTAAACAGGCCCAGATGAATTTCCACCCACAAGGGGAGAGCCAAGGAAACCTGATAGACCTGCTCTCCCAAGCTAATTTGTTTTTCACTTGCCTGTTTGGCTAAAAGGAATGTTTCTGTTCAAGACTGAGCAAGGAACAATTTTCTTCCAAAGTCAAAACAGTAGTTTTGTCTCAAGGACTTTAGCAAATAGTAGCTTCAAACATAAACCTGGAAGTGTGGTGGGAAGCCAGTGGTATGAGAGAGAAATCTGAGCGATATTGATACACATCTAGAATTAGAATTTTATTGCGGGAAGTGATTTGAGAGCACATGTTTCAGATAAGAACACTGAAGCCCAGGGAGCAAGAATGAAGTGTCGTACCAATATGTCACACTTAACTCAGTGGCAGAGCACGTCAGAACCTAGGTGTCCTGCCTCTCAGACAGCAAGTGGTCCTCTTTGCTGATCTCTGTCAGAGCTTTGGTGAGCAGATGTTGCTGTACTCTGCTAGGGTGCACTGCAAGCAGAAAAGACAGCTTCTCTCTCTTTTCCAACCCTGGCAACCATCTCTAGACAAAGAGCAGTGGGGACTCTGTAAACCTTTAGTAAGGGCCTTGGGCCTACTCTGCCTTCAGGGAGCTCTAGGTCTAGTGAGGGAAACACAAGTTATTATAGAAGACTGTGAGAACTGCTGTGATAGAGGTAGGTTATCTCTCCCTAGTTGTGAGGGTTTATGACATTTTATTGGAAGAAATCAGTTGAGAAGCTTGAGACCTGCAAAGGAAAGTGGGAGAAGGAGAGAGAGAAAGAGAGATGAAAGCTGTATCAGGCAAAGTCCAATCATAGGAAACAGGACCCATTCAGCCATTTTAAACACAAAAGAGTTTAATATAGGATATTAAGGTACTTCCAGTCCCTGGAAGGGCCAGAGGAATGGGCTCTAAGCTAAACTTTCAGGAGGGAACCACTAGATCTTTTAAGTTCAGATTACAATGCCAAAACTTAAATCCAGGGATCAGAAACTCATCATTGCCATTGACACAGTGCTCACTGCACCCAGGAACCAAACCCTGGAGCAGAAAATGCAATGTCTCTACAATCATCCTTGTTATTAGTAAAAGCAGAAGGAAAAGGAAGATGTCCTCTGCTTCACATCTGCCTTTCAAATCTTTTGTGAGGGCATCTAATTTGTAGAGAACAATTTGCATCCATATTCTATCTGCAAAAGAGGCTGGGAAGTATCATTTTTAACACTTTCAATCTCTACAATAAAGAAATACCACACAATAAAAGTAGATGGGGGTGGATGCTGAGCAAATCTTTCCACATAAATACTGTTCAGTTTCATTACAATAAAACTTAAGGAGATAGCTCACTAGATAAAGCTACTATTAGTGCTATTTTATACATCTTACATTAGTAATGATGGGTGCTGTGATTTCCATTAGCTGTTTTTGCTTACTACCATTTTATTAGAATCATCTTTCCCTGCTCTTTCAAAATTATGCTTGTAAGCTTGTTTTACCTTGTAGTAGCCAGTGGTTTTTTTTTGTTTTGTTTTGTTTTTTCCTTGTATAGTTCTTGGTATCTCTAATGCTTTTCTGATTTTAAGGCTCCTCTGCCGCCTCCTGGTTATGCCTTTCTCCAGGTCCTGCTTTTTTTTTTTTGTTTTGTTTTGTTTTTTCCTTGTATAGTTCTTGGTATCTCTAAGGCTTTTCTGATTTTAAGGCTCCTCTGCCGCCTCCTGGTTATGCCTTTCTCCAGGTCCTGCTTAGTTGGCAACTCTTGCATGTGTCTCAGCTCTTTCCTGCCTCATGGACGCCACCAGATCTCACTTCCAAGGCTAGCATTCCTCTTACTCCTCTTCAGTTCTCTTTCCTAAGGCCTCCTCGCAAAATCTCCATTCCCTTTTCTCTTCCCATCGCCTAATTTCCTTCTTTTTTTTTTTGTCTTTTGTCTTTTTCCGTGTCCGGCAACGGATCGCAACCCTCAGTGTTGCCCCCGTACCGGACCGGGGACCGGCAACGGGATTGCAACCCTCGGCGTTGCTCCCGCGCCTCGCTCAGCCAGTGAGCGGGAACCGGTCTGTACGTGGGATCCGAACCCTCGGGCGGGAGCGCCGCTGCGCTTCCCAAGCGGCGCACTATCCAGTGCGCCACCAGGCCGGCCCCTAATTTCCTTCTTTATTAATTATCCCTGGTAAGAAGGACTGACAATGTAATGCCATCTGATCTGGTCTGGCTTTGTGCCTTTACGTGCTAGAAGTTATGAGATTAAATAACACAGTGCATCAATTTTTTACCAAGATTTGGGGGCAAAACTATGGTTTTTAGTTTAAACAAATATGGCTGTATTATGGAGTATAATGTGAAATCTTCATGAATTTTTTTTTTTTTTTTTTTAAAGATGACCGGTAAGGGGATCTCAACCCTTGGCTTGGTGTTGTCAGCACCACGCTCAGCTAGTGAGCAAACCGGCCATCCCTATATAGGATCCGAACCCGTGGCCTTGGTGTTATGAGCACCGCACTCTACCGAGTGAGCCACGGGCCGGCCTAATCTTCATGAATTTTTAGGATAAAATACAATCCTGTTAATAGATGTCATGTTTATTGTAGCTGTTCCAAGGTTTCAGAGTTTAGTGTTTACTCTTCTCTGGGTTACTGTTACTTTGGTGGGAAAGTTTGAAAAGAATTGGTCTACTCTAATGGAAATTCTTTTGGTTGAGGAAAATATGTCAAAGCAAAGCTGGAGCTAATCCTCTTTCCCTAAAAGAAATTTGAAGTTTGAGAACTCTAACTGGGGGTATAAAGTTCAGTGATTCCACCTAGAGAATCAAGAGAGGCTTCTCAGAGTAGATGATGTTAAAGTCTATCTTTAAAGGTTACTTATTAAATGTTATACTGCTGTGGAGGAGGGTAAAATCAGCAGTTCCTGAGTATGAATTTGTTCATGAAATTGCTTTCTGTCCAGAGGGACAGACTGAGGTCCCTGGAGGAGTACTTACTGAAAGGAGCAGCCAAAGAGAGAGAGCAGGTTGGAGCCTCAAAGAAGAACTTCAATGCTGGCCACTTAGCTCAGTTGGTTAGAGCGTAGTGCTGATAACACCAAGGTCAAGGGTTTGGATCCCCGTAGCAGCCAGCCGCCCCCCAAAAAAATTTTTTTTGTTTAAAAATTTTTTTAAAAGATGAACTTTATCTACAAGAAGTGGGACTTTGGATTCGGAGAAACCTTGAACTAGATAGGTTGAAAGAAGACAAACAAGTTAGAATCTATACAAAGAATTTGTTTCTATAAAGCACATAAATTATGCTTAAGACATACTACATCTTTTTCTTCTATTTTTTCTTTTCTGCTCTTCTCTTCTTTCATCTGTAGTTCTGACATTCATAGCATTTTAGAGCAAAAGGAATTGAATGGAATATATGTTGTTTATATTTTATAGAGTTTCTATCACTCAGTGCTGTGCAAAAGAACTTTCTACTTGGATGGAAATGTTCTTTTTTTTTTTTTTTCCTTTTTGTCTTTTTTTTTACTGACTGGTAACGGGATCACAACCCTCGGTGTTGCGCCCACACCGCGCTCAGCCAGTGAGCGGGAACCGGTCTCCACATGGGATCCGAACCCTCGGTGGGAGCGCTGCCGCGTTCCCAAGCGGCGCACTCTCCAGTGCGCCACCGGGCCAGCCCTGGATGGAAATGTTCTTTGTCTTCACTGTTCAGTATGGTAACCACTAGCACCATGTGGCTGTTGAACACTTGAAATATGGCTAGTGCAACCAAGGAACTGAATTTTTTTTTTTTTTTTTTTTTTTTTTTTTTTTTTTTTTTTT